TAATTTTTTTCAGCTTCAGCTGATCAAGACAATAGGAAAGCAGCACTTGAATTACGCTTGTCACAGTAACATACAGGCCATGGTAGGTCTATAGGTATGGTACACCATAGGTAGACCAAAGGCTATTGCAAACTAGCTTGGTTGGACCCTGTGGTATGAGGCAATACTGACCTTATCGGACCTTTCCTCCTGGAAACCTGCAGTGAGAATATCCAGCTTTGCAAGCTGGACCCTCTTGAGGCAAACACAATGCAAGCTCTTTCCTCCAAACCAGGAACAAAGAATGATGTTATTTCCTATGGTTGGCTTTGGGAGAACCACACAGCGACACCAAATCATAGCAGCAGAAACGAGGAACATTTAAGTTATTTACTAATATTTTATTTAAAAAATGATTAAAAAATATTTTAGAATGTTAAGACCAAAAAAAGCATAATACATTAAAAAAGACCACAGGTTTAGAATGGAAAAATATTTAAGCATTTCAAAGTTGTTTAAATGGAAATTCAAGGCAACACTGGCAACAAAACTGTGTAAAATTTTTATTTTTTATATATATAAAACTACTGTGTTATCATCCTGATTTAATAATCATTAAAAGTCACTTAAATTCTGAAAGGTATTAGAAGTGAGAGATAGATCTGAACAGCGTAAAATTTACTATCTAGAGATCTACTTATGTTTACAGCAATAGACTGAAACACAAATGAATTTCCATTTTAACAGCACTACCAGCATCTTGATTCGTTACAATTTTATGTAACCTTTCAAAAAATTCACAAAGTATTTCTTTCCCTTCAGTACAGAAAGCTTGGTATTTTTATTGCACATATTGCACAAATTTGAACACAGATCACCATGATGGCCATTATGCAAAAACAGATTGGGCAGAGCTCTGAGAATTGTGTGAGATAACTCACTGCTTTTTCAAGTTGGAGGGTGCAAAGGTAGAACTCAATCCTAACAGACCACAACCCTTCCCTGCTATTTTTAAGCGCAGAGTGCAAGCAGTAAGGCACAATTCCTCTGCATATTTAGAACGAAAAGGGCACTGATAACATTGTGATTTTAATGTGGGCTAAATGCCAAACACAAAAATTAACATTCACAATCTACGTAATGCATGCGCAGATTTTCAAAACAGAAACTCACAGTCCAGCCACTTAACAAGTCCTCACATGTCCTGGAGAATCCTCTGCACTGATTCTCAAGGCACTGTAAGCAAAGCCTGAAAGTGGGTGCAGAGCCTTTAAGTATTTTTTGGACAGGCTCAACTGGAAAAGATGAAAGCTTATAATGCGTCTGAGCAGGCTCGAAACACCACTGCTGAGCACCGTGGTGAAGAAGGGAGAAGACAATCTGCAGGTAGACGTACTGGGCCAGTTGCTTCTTTCCGCAGGTTTTACTGCCAGTTAAGATTGTACAAAGATGGTTACTTTGCAAACAGATGAAGAAATTTAAGACAGTTGCTTGTAACAGCACCTCTGCCAGAGCTCCCACTGCTCTCCTGAACAATCCCTAATCCACGTCAGTCAAAATCAGCCAACTTCATGTAAGCAATTTAAATAGCTGGTTTAAATAAAGCAGGCTGATTTCATCAGAAGCAGGCTGGGAAACAAGCGTCGCTTTGCTGACAGAGCACGGGAGGGGTGAGAGACATCCAGCCACACGCGCAGAGCTCCTGCAAAAACAGATGCTTAATCCAGCTCCAACGCCATTCTCTGGGATCAGTCTAATTAAAACACAAGACACGCAAAGCCTGGATCTGACACCAGAAGCATCAGAGGGGGCATGTCAAGGCTGCAGGAGACCAGTCTGCTCAGCCATGGCAGCCAGCAAGTCTCTCCCCCACCTAGCCTGCGAGGGCAGAGGAGCTAGGAGGGGCACACACCGGCCCCTTTATCTTAGGAAGCTGATAAAGCAGGAAAGGAAACAACCTCACAGAAGCAGAAGACAGCATACACACTAGCAAACCTGCTTCTCAACTATTTTAAAACAGGACAAAAAAGACCCCTTATACTTAGAAGCCGAGGATTAGTAGTACCACCATGCAGAAACTGCTTTGTTAGCAACAACTGGTTTGGAAGCAACAATTTAGCAATTGCCTTAAACCTATAACCAAGATGTGGCTTGTCTGCTTGTAGTATTTAACTACTATGTGACAGATTAATGCCAGCTAAACAGTATCTGGAATGGAGCAGTGTGTGTTGTTGTAAGAATAGCAGGACTCTTCCTGTTAGCAAGCTCCTGTGACATATGGGAAAACAACTAGCCAGTTTCCCAAAGACTACCGTTTGTCGTTTTCATTAGCTGACGGCAACGCTTGCATCCCTTTCAGTCAGAGATGGAATCTGATGCTCAAATCTATACATGGATCAGTCAGTTGGTGAGAGAATGGGTATAAACTACCTACTTGGAACAGCTGAGATGAAAACGAAAAACATGTCAAAACCCCCTCACTCTAACAACCCAAACCGCACCAGGGGTGCCAGCATGTATGCAGTAAGAGAGTCCATCAAACCGTTCTGCAGAGGTTGGCAGTATTTGTTTCAAAAGGCCTAAGAGATCATGGGAGTTAGGAGACCTCAGTCAGCCACCTTCTTCTGACACCAACTCCTTGTGGCACCTTTTCATAAAAATACCTTGCTGTGTATTTCAGTTTCTGTGTCAAGTATCAGCAGTGGGTATCATAGATAGGGAGGCCAAGGCAGAGAGATGACTTTACAGATCCCTTTCAGTACCAGTATCTCCAGTTGAGGAATGGACACCAATAACAAAGCACTTAGGTGGGGAAAAGTCTACAGAAAAAGCAACCAAAACCCAGAACTCTCTTCATATATTTTCAAGCTAAGAAAAATTACCAGAAAAATTACCTCAAGATAAAAGTCCCATCATGGTGCTGCATTGCTTAATAAAGCAGCATAGTGCTACTCTTTACACTGTATTTACAGCTTTTAATTATAGATCAAGATTTAGAGACTACAGACATTTTGATGTGAAAAGAAATTCAGAAGTATCCCAGGTAATAAAACCCAAAAAAACTCCCTTAGAATGTTAATCATACTTTGGGGATTGTGTCCATATCTAAGACACTGCAAAGCATAGCAGAGAGATTTCTCATTAAGGCAAGTTTCATATCACCAGTAACACCACTTAGAAACAAAACATCTCTAATCTACCCAGTTTTCAGACAGCTACAGCAAGCTCTGTACACCCAGACTGAGATCAGGTTTTAGTGCAAATGGACACCAATAAATACAAGGAAAAAAAAAAAAAAAAAAGACAGTCCAAAGAGCATTTCTTCTTCACAAAGCAGGAAATTCTATGAAAGAAAGTACGTATTTTATGCATAGCTCAAACCAAGCTACAGCTTGAACTTCACACCACCTGCAAAATGTTACATCCTCCAAGCAAAGTGTAGTGTTAGGCTTAACTCTCAGAGCTTAGAGAGAGAACATCACAAACTCGTATTCATCAGAAAGTGGCAGCACTGGGAAAAAGAAAAAAAAAAACAAACCCAACTTTGACCTTCTTTCACAGTCCTTTGTCTTACAACAGCTTCCTCATCCTTTTCCAGATACAGCTTGCTTAGCCAGTTTCTGGAGGGCTTAGTCTCCATGCTGCCACAAACGGTTACAGGACTAGAAATTTGTCAAGAGTAGGGTATTGATGAAATGGAGTTAATGCCTGGAAGACATGGCAAATGTCACGAGCACTCAAACAAGAATTGGTTTTGCATAATCAGCTTTTTCTCATTGGCTTTGGTATTTTGGAACATCTCCTGACTTAGAGCAATTTGCCCTACTTGTGAAGGCTTTCCTCTTAAGTGAGGCCTAGCAGTTTTGCTTCTACCTCAGACAACTGAAAAATGCCTTTTCACCACTTCATTTCTTTTACAGCCATCAACATCTGGTCTGATAATGTCCATCACTTGTCTGATATGTGTTGCATCAGTAGTGTTTCTTGCAGTCCTACAGCCTGTCGCTTTTAAGACAAATCAAGGGTACAAGTGCTTATTTACCTGATTACCAGCTGACCTAGTCAGCAGCAAGAAGTCTCAAGCTAGTGCCATATTTATAAACAAGGAAAATGGTGGGGTCCATAACCATTCTGGCAAAACTTAACCATTTACTACACATGAACAAGCTGCATATGGTATTAACCTTGCAAGTAATATTCACCAGGATAGTACCATCGTGCTGTAACGTTTTTCCCGTTGATGTTCAGATTGCCACTTTTTTGGGGTCATTCGTGAAAATATTTATTCTTCATCTTTTTTCCTCACACAGCTGGCTTTTCAAGTTTCTTCCTGCAACTTTCATAGCTTTTGAAACAATCTGAAAGAAGATTCTGGCATACAAGTCCAAACTTTGATGACCATGGGGTGCAAACCGTCTCCTTAATATACCATTACATTACCCTCCCCATAAAGCCCCTACACTCGCTATTCCATTAAACTGATCTCCACAGACAGAACTGGGACATACAAATAGTAAAAACAAAACAAAGCTCCTTATGTAAAGATAACCGTTTCTGTAAGGCTCCAGTTAGGTATCCCTTATACATTTAGTCCAACCAGTAAGTACAAGGATCAATTCCGCTGTACTAATTTCTAACTTGTAACAGAAGTATCTGGTCCATTTATACATAAAATATCTTTAGGATATAGCTCAGAATTGATGCGTCACACATTAACCTTTATTAGTCACCTCTGTCAAAAATCAAATCAGCACACTGTTGTCCTTAAGTTATTCTATTTAGAAACAATTTTTTTTAGTGTATGTCACCTGGACAGGTGGCAGGACCAGTTGTTAAGCAGGGCCAGTTACCTTAGAACATGATGCTCAAGATGCCGTTACTTGACCTAAGGATCTCTAAAAATTTGTGATGAGCAATGCATACAAAATTGATTAGAAGAGACAGAAGTTGTTGCCTACAGTGCACTGAAAGTTCATTTTAGTTTGCTCCATTAAAAAAAAAAGAGAAATAATTCCAGAAAGTTAGCTTTGTTTATTCAGTGGCTGATTTTCTGTGACGCTCTGAGTGTTGCCAGGATTTTCAGAGTGTCCGTTGACGTTTTGTTTCTGGCTGTGAAAAAACTCTATAGTAACTTCAGCTAAGAATGCAACACTTGCAAGAAATCCAAACACCTGTGAAAGTGAAAGGAATATATGATTTTTAAATGTACAAACATTAACAGTATTCTAACATTGTTTGGAGAGATTTGCTGGACTATATACATATGTTAATAATGCTTACATACTAAGATTACAGTCCTCCTTAAATCGGTGGTTCCATTTAAATTAGGAAAGGATCAGAAATCATTATTCTAGCACATTTAATGCAGAAGTTTTTACAGTTCTCATTCTCTTAATCAAGCTTGAACCGTACAATATATTCTAAATAGCCCTTAATAGTAAAAATATATTTATTTTATTGCAAAAATTAAGTTCTTAAAGAAGCATGGCATTGGTGGTATAGCAGAGTATTTATCAAAGAGATAGCTGCTGATTCAAGGGACTACGCGATGAACAGTGAAACATGGAGGGTGAAGGGAGATAAGATCTGCAGAGCCTAAGCAAGTCCTTACTGGGTCAGCAAGGGGGGATGAAATGACACTTTGTTAATGGCATTTCATTATTAGTCATGGCATGAGAGTGATAAGGAGAAGGTTGGTTTCAGCAGCTTCTTTCAAACAAGGGAACACATGCATTATTCTAACTTTTACCTAAATTTTACACAACTGGTTTGCCCCAAAGCAATTTGACACTAGTAAGTCTTAAATCACAACAGTTTTTGTTTTTCCAGCACCAGGAAAAAAAAAAACTGAAAGACTTCATACTCAAACCATTAGGTTTGAATATGTCAATATCATAGAAGATGACACACAAAAGTGTGCATCTCTAATAGCTCCTGCTGCCTGTTGAACAGAATTATTTTACTTTCTTTTCTAACTCATTTTTTCTCATTCAAGAATAGAATCAAAATTTCATCTTTTAAACTCACATATTCACAATTCCAAGGTTATTCTAAAGAAATGACAAATGAGTGAGGAATTATGACATCCACAGCATCCCAAAGCCTCTTCAGTGTTCCCTGGGAGATGCATGCCCTGTTACCCTTCTCACTATTTCTGTCACTGAGGAAACTGCTGCTCTTACTGCAGCCTTTGCAAGTCACCATTCTCCACATATGCTTTATAACGCCTGGCAAAAGACATGGTTTCTTGCTGACTTTGCGAGGGGGTGGCATTACGAAAGGACAATTGAGGAAAAAAGTAGGCATTTCAGAGAGAGGGTACCAGAGAACCAGGGAAGCTGTGAGAGAGGACAACGTCGAAACGGTGACAGATGACAGGGAGTAACACGGAGCCAAGGCAGTGAAGTCTGAGGAACCCAGAAGCAAGCCGCGAACGCTGGGGAGCTGCAAGTACACGCAGAGCTTTCCAGCAATCCTGAGAAATGCCTGCTCTTTGGATTTTCTACGGTAAGTTTCTGGAAGGTCTGAAATAGCTAATTCCTCCTGAAACATCGCAATGCACTGAATTCTGTTCCATGCCCAGTTTCTTCCCTGCAAATTAGGTGAGGTTTAGCGGGCAGAGAAATTAACATACAAGATAAATGCAAAGTAATATTATGTAATTTTAAGACTTACACATGCAGCTGTTTCAGCAACAGACCCAGAGCTGGTCACAGCAAGCACTATTGATGCTAACAGAAAAAAGACTCCTATGACTGCCACGGTCCAAAATTTCTGCAAATATAAAAAAATTAATGTTATAGAATTGTAGACATACTACCTGAAAAAGAACAAGCATCATAACAGCAGCTGAGTTAATCTGCCAGTGAATTTATGCTTTGAAATGTTGATGCTAATGGCAGCTTCAGAAAATGCATTTTACAGCTATATTCCAAAAACATTCAACATTATCAACTATTTAAAACAGCCTGCATTACATACTCCCCTGCTTTTGCCATCTTTAAGTATTTCATTCATTTCATCTAACTTCTTTCACAATCGAATTCAGGCTCAGGTCAACCATGCTAGAATTGTTCCCTATGTAAAGCATCTAGGAAACCAGAAACCTGTAAGTAAATGTGCTCATTCAAATCTCTTACTACACTCCCTTATGCGTACCTTCACATAAAAAAACCCTACTGTTTGCTCTGAAGACAAAGAGGAAGGGACGCTCATAAGACAGTATAATATTCTTACTGACTTTAAAGAGCAACTTTGTGCCACTGCTTTATCTTCTGAAATATAAAAGCATGAACTGTAACAAGTATGATTATTACCAAAAAGGAGGTAGGTTACACCCAGTAGGAAAACAGATGGGGTAAACAGGCAAGTTACAAATATCATGCTGGCAGTAAACTGTGTTCTGTATACGTACATGTATACGATGACTACGCAGTAGTATTAGTCTGCATGAAAGACTTTCACACAAGTCCTAAAATCCTGCAGGTAACCAACATGACAATTTTGGAAAAGTTGTCAATATGAAAGCGATTCTCAAAGTTAACTCATTTTTTAACTATAAGCTACTTTAATCTACCCTTTAAATAGAGAAGAAAAGGAGATTCATTCCGCATAGCCTTTTTACTCCACAGTAGTCTTTAAGCACTTAGAAGAAATGGTTTGTTTAAAAGAAAAAAAAAAATTTCCTTACCACTATCTTTATTTTATCTTCCCCAAGTGTTTCATATACATCAGTACAATACACACACAGGATCAGGAGGCTCAAAAGAAAGGCACTGCAGCTTGTGAATTCAAAGAAGTAAAGTCCACCACACTTGACACAATCCTCCACAATTTCTTCACAAATAAGAGCCAGAAGAGAGAGAATCTGCAAACAAATAACATGCTTGAGTTGGATCAAGTCTCTAGTATCTTCAGCAAATAGACATCTCTGATATAAACATTAATAGAGACAGCTGTAAGGAAAATCCTCAGTCCACAATGAACCTGGTAAAATTCTGCACAATTTTCTTACAGGCAGAAATAATTATATAGTAACACAGTTTACACTTGCTGTTAAAGCTGGTCAATAAACTACACTCATGTAAGCTAAGCACACACCACCAAATACAGGCTTCTTGATTAGACAGTCAAGATTCCCGATTTGTGGGTTTGTGCAGCGTGGCGAGCACACATCCCGCTCAGAACAAGCAAAAATGCTATTGCTTGCTACTTACAGCTGCACTTCATTTTAAATGCATTTGGGGTCAGGGTGGAGGGGGAAACTGGATGGCATTGACGGAGTCAGCTACCTCCCTGAAAGTTTACAGCTGACATTACCTCCCTTGATAAACTTCAGAGAAAGCACACGTAGCTAATAGCTCACATGCTTATGACCCAGTAATGACAGAAGCACAGCTGTACCTGTAGGAACCAAAACTTTATGTTTAAGCTATGTTGGACAGTGTTTAATCTATGCAGAAGCTTATGTTCACCCTCCTACCACAGTATGTTTTGAGGAAGGAACTCGAGTTAATTCCTGTACAGTCACCATACATCTACTGCTAGATCTTCTATTATTCTATTGTACCAGAAAGAATATTGCTTTATTTAAAGTTCTCTGATTTTGGCCACTTTTCATCCCATAAAGTTGCACAGGATTATAGATCCTTGTAGTAAGGAGTTCACCAAATTAAAACAAAACCCTTAGTAGGAATCGGACTCAGTCATAAAATTGAGACTGATATAAGGATGATGATCCTATTTTTAATAAGAGTATACGGGCAATAATGAGACTGATAGTTCTCCTTTAAAAAAAAAAAAAGCCCCAAATTCTAAAATTCAGAATTGTTATTTTCCAGTTATTAGCAACTGCAGATGCTTCATCTGGACCTTACTCTTGGAAAACAACCACCAGCCTTCGGTTTCAGTTTTCTGACAGTAAAAATAAGAACAGCAATTTAGCACATGGGAACTGTAAATTCCCCCCGCTATGCCAGACCTCAGAAGGGCACTACAAAGCATCGTGTTTTGGATGTCCTGCAATCCTATAAAGTAAACAGGATCTCAGAAAGCGAAAGAACCCGAGCTGGGAAACTGCAGTATTACTATCAGGTCTACACATACTTCCCTCCCCTCCCGCAGCAGCTGGCAAGGCAAACTTCTCAGCAGCCCTCGCACCTACAACAGTGACTACAATGGCTGGCTGAGGAATGTTTTGAACTCTGAACTGCCAATTTTTAAGGCTTCCCCCCCCCCTACCCCCTGCATTTCAAAAGATTTGCTTACAGCTGCGTCCAATGACTTTCAATTTCACATTTTTCACACGGTCAGCTGAAGTGTGAGATACGTTTTCACGTATAGTTCTAGCTCTTAGTGTCAGCACTGAAAACTGAATGCTGTCACTTTCACCTGGGATGAAACAACAGAAAGGAAATAAACCTGCCCTTAAAAGAATTTATAAGCCCAGATAACCATAATATGATCTAAATAACTGAAAAAACCCTCTCCACTGAGTGTAAAAAAGAAAGAAACAAAAATCCCACTCAAAGAGTGGCTATAAAGGGTTCAGTGTCAAATAAATGAGATTTACCAAGTGGAGTCCTATATGGGACTTGTCCAAGTCAATATTCAATTTTTTATTAATAAACTGAATAACAAAACAAAGTACATCATTAAAAAAGCTTTGGCTTGAAGAACTTTGATTAAAGTAGCGTATCAGCAGCACATTTATAAGCTGCCAGCGAGTTCTGCTTGGGTTTCTTAACTTGCTTCTTGATATCACTATGATATCACTTGTCCTACTACAAAAAAAGAACAGTTTTAAATACCACTAAAAGAGTAGTTCCTAACTTCAGTTTATATAGTTACAGCTATATAACATCGCAAGAAGTTTTTTCTATTAGCCAGAAGATTATCGTCTCTATTAATCTGCATTTTAGTAACATCCCACTATTAGATACAGTATAAATACATGAGCCGCTTTAAAAAGCCGAGCGATTCCACATTTCATTCACTTTCCCAAGAACTGTTCTGCCAGAGATCCACTTGCGTCTGTCAGCGTTAGTCCTGGGATGAGTGCGGAGCTCTACAGGCTTAGACAAAGCAGCCAGAGCTCCTTCTGTTTTGTTTTTATATCTGCCTCCTCCACATTGATCCCATGGAGAATCCCTAGCAGTCGACACCCAGAATATCACTACTGCTTTTGTTTGAGCCATCAACAGCAAGTGGAGAGGGGCAGCTCAGTAGTTCCTCATTTTCTTGAGAGCCAAACCTTCCGGGCAGAGTTTCTTTCACCCTGAAGCCCAGGGTAACACCTGAAGACAAAAGCAGGCAGCCACCGCCGCCTTCCTTCCCTCTCACCCAGAGCCCGGCTCCGCTGCAGACGCAGCGGCCGGGGGTGGGGGGGCAGAGCCACCCCCGGCGGGGGGCCCAGGACCGGACCCAGAGCCCGGCTCCGCTGCAGACGCAGCGGCCGGTGTTGGGGAGGCAGAGCTCACCCGGCCGGGGGGCCAGGGCACGGCTGAGAGCACGCAGGGGCTGCGGAGAGGTGCACGGGGACACAGGCAGGCTGGCACCAGGCTCGCTGGCTCCTGCAGGAAAATCCACACCTCGCCGTATGCGCGCACTGCTTGCTTTCCTGGGTGCTGCAAAGGAAAAAGCATCGTTGGAGATGCTCCTGCAGGAAAATCCACACCTCGCTGTATGCGCGCACTGCTTGCTTTGCTGGGTGCTGTAAAGGAAAAAGCATCGTTGGAGATGCCGTTTTCAACTTTTTCTGGTTTGTGTTTGGTTTTTTTTTTTTTTAATTATTAGTCCTATCTGTCCCTACGTACACCAGAAATTAAACATCTTCATCTGTCCTTTACCAGCAAGAAGTTATTCACTGATACTGACATTACTGTTGGAAGCTTCTACACAACTGTCAGGTTCCCAGATTTAGTAAACGAAAGGCTACAAAAGAATGCTCCGACAATAAAGCAGATCAATTAACTTTCCAACAGGCCTGTGAAAATGCTCAGCAGCAGTATTCCCAGTACAAAATCTTCTGGTTCAGATGGGTGCACATATTAATTCTGTAGGTCTCCACAATTAGGGCTGCTATAGGAAGTGAACAGCTCAGAAAGAGAGCAGATGTTTAAGACTGAATTACAATATTCCTTTGCAGTTAGGGCATTTTCGTTAAACAATAGTCGACGACAAGTATTTCTGCTTTAGCTGAGAATTCGTTTCTACCTCAACCTTGGCACAATATGTGCTGTGCCATTTACCTTTGTGCAGAATTTGAATCAGTCGTGGACTAACAAAAACATTCCACCTACATAAAAAAATTAAAAAAAAAAATCTAGAAAACCTTGCAATAAGCATGCCTCCCAGCATCCTTTTAGCAGTCACATTTTCCTTATTTCATTTTCCCAAAAAGCTTTAATAAGGCAAAGATTACAATGTATGCCGTTATTAATCAGAAGAAAAGCATTTCTAAGGTTTAGAAACTACTTTTCTGCAGGTGATTTCACAGTATTTTGTAAAATACTTGATCACTTCTATAATGAAGACAGCTGATTTTCTGAGCGCAATACCCCGTTTAGCAATCCACACCAGGGATTATCACAGTGCATAATCCCAGTAACAACTCACAATCACTACTGTAACACAAGGCTAATAGATGTTAGTGACCATCGCCGGCATTTCCAAAAATCAACGCTTTCCCAAAACACGAACATTTCTCTTACTGGAGATACTAAGGCTTCCACCTTCACTAACTTCTGGGGCTTGTTCAAAGGGTTTTGACCAAGAGCACCAAGATCTGTGCATTTTGGTAAAGGGGAAACAAAATGGGGGGAAAAAACCTGCTGGAAATTAGGAGGGAGAATGACTATTAATTCCATTTTTTTCTTCCTCTTGTTGAAGGACAGGTACAGGCCATAAACTGCTAATTCTTTAGGAGCGTATCTAGCAGCTACTCATCCTGTTTAGGATAATCATAATTTTCCTTTCTCCTTTCCTAGAAAGCTTTTTAAATAATGCCTCTGTTCAGGTAAACAGTTTAAGACTTTGGTACACCAGTAAATTTGCGTATGTAACAGTTTATTTTAGTTGGTGAAACTATTTATATAAATGATCTGCTTGTCTGGGAGCAACAGCCAGCAGATCTTACTTTATTAATCTCCAGTAGATGAAGTAAAAGTTTATGTCCTATTACATTTATTTAAAGCACTCTTGGGTGTGATTTTTTTTTAAACGCTCTTAGAAAACATTATTTTTGGCAGTGTTACTGTTACCTTTGCCAGCGCTCAAGAATCTTATGTTTATGGTTGCAGGGTTTTTTTGACTGCCTGCAAGACAAAAGTTTAAAATCCCAACGTCCTCTTTTCTGCAATGGTGAAGTAACAAGAAAGGGTTGGAAACCACCTACAATTCCCGTGAGTATGAGACATCTGACTAAAAAGCCACTTTGTTGGCTGGAAAATGTACCCTGACACACATTTACAGTCAGCTGCCCTTTTCCACTCTTGGTTTCACTACCTCCCCGCCAGTACTTACGAATGATGCTCCTCGCGTCATGATCAGCAGTCGCACTGGCACATGTAGCGAGCCGAGCACAGAACAAACACGAGTCTGAAGCAGGTGCCCGACCGCTGAATGCCTTCAGGAATAACGTTACACGTAGCAAAAAAGCAAGCAGAACATAAGCCTTGTATTTCCTGGCGGGCACAGGACTGCCCAGCACGAAACGACGCGCTGCGATGTCTTGTACAACAGGTCACCATCGACACCGCACGTTCCTGGTGCAATTTTCTACCACGAACCGCGGCAGAAATGAGCGCCCCGATTTTAACGTGGACAGCACGGCGTGATGAGCTTACAGATGAGCTGCAGGGGCGGCAG